ACTGTACCAGAGGTTGGTCCTTGTCCTACAACCAGAAACCGTTTTTGGGCTTTTGGCCGCTATATGGCCCCTACACTAACCAATACTAATTCATTTAAAAAACACACTAACCGTAACTGAAGTGCAACTGTTATGAGCTTTCAAAAGCTGAACAATCTCGTTTGAATTTCCAAAAAGCAGCTGCCAGAACTTTGAAGAGAAGATTGTGGATGACATCGGAACTTCAATAGGCGATTATTTAGTTCTCACGAGATTGATGGAGAAAAAGTAAATGGTTTAGTAACTTGAAAAAAACCTGCATTTTAATCTCAGAAAAAGCCCCTTATGCTCATTTACTACCTATAATTCAAAAATGCTCTTACTAGCAAAAAATTAGCTCGTTTTCTTTAGAAAATTTTTTGAAGAGTCGGCCAAAATTACTCAGTCATCAATCAGTGTAGAAAGAAATCGGTAAAAAGTTTTCATTCAAAGAGGCAATATCAGTTCAGAGTACTATACTTTTCCAAAAATTGCAAGTATTAAAAACGGCGGATACTTCACTGAAAAATCGCCACCAATAAATTTTCTTACCAAAATCAGCAGAGACAACCTTTTCTGGAACTAATGTTAGTTTATTATAATCTTTGTATTTATGTACACTTTCGGCGTTAGTGACTGTCGCAGTCTGAGTTTGAGAAAGGACTGATGAGTTAGTGGATTTTAAGGGTGAAGAAACAGCGCTGCAATTCAAAAACTATAATTCTTCAAATTAATGAGTCTTGCAGCAAAAAAAAAAAATCAACGGATTTAAAAAACTTTTACCGAGGTTCTCGCCTTTGACGTAATCTGCAAAATAAAATTTAAAAAAACAGAGGAAGAAATGCTATAAGAATCTTCGAAAGACCAACCTGGAACTCCCCACTAATTCAACAGCAACAACCTTCGCCAAATTATCCTTGTCTAATACTGCATCTCCTTTACAAGTATCACTTGAATGGTGGCAATCAGCCGTAACTTTAATAATGCCAGCTTTCAAATGATCTAATTCTTCTTTAGCGAAGAACTCCCTGTAACTTGCAATACATGAGGAGATTAAAACACTGATAAAACCAACAAAAAATTACTTTTCAGGATCGAATGAATCAGATTCCGTTGAAAAGGAGCGATAGAGTTCAACAATAAATCCACAATACTCGTCCAGACGTCTATTCAACTCTTCTATATCCATAGCAGAAAGATCTGTCATTGTACCAACTTTCTAAAGTTTTAATACAAAATAAAATTGAAAATTCTTCACAAAAACTTAGTACAAGGCCCAGAACATCTCGCTACACCTAATCTCGAAACAGTATTTTCTTATCATATCAAGCTCTGACGCTTCGAAAAACAAGCCATTCATCCTACAAGAGAAATATAATGTCGCTCGATAAAAGCTTCAGGTGTGCAAGTTTAGTAACCTTAATTTTCTTACCGCAGTCCAGACAAATTGGAGAACTCAGCTAGCCCTTAAAAGCATAAACGTGCAGACAACTGCCCCTAACAGTCGCTTTGTTATAAAAACATGGATAAATTGTATTGGACTTTTATCAGTCACACAAGAATTCCTCATCCGATCTAACTGTTGTTACTATGAATCGACATGCCCTCGAAACCCATGAAGAACAAAAATAATGCTATTTAAATTTAATTGCCCATTAGTATTTAAGTTTGTAAATCGGCTTTCAGAATGAACACAGTGAGCAGAGCCGCACACAATATGCCTTACAAAATGAAGACAGGCATCAAGGAGACGCCATATCCAAAAAAATTAGTTGAATTGCACCCCAAAAAACTATTAAAAATAGATATTTTTTATAATTTCTTCTACAGAAACTTATTAAAATTTGCAAAAAAACCTAACAACTCCTTTTTCTCAGCCTAAAAGCAGTGCATCATACTTCCGTATATTACCTCAGACGAAAATGGAGTTTTAGCAAGCCTGCTTTTCTTGGGGATCTGATTCTGAGAAGAAATCAATTCCTCCCGTTCACCTTCCAATTCTGACACTGCTGTGCAAAGCTTAGCAACCTGCAAAGGCATAATTAACAATGAAATATTTCCGTAATTACAACCAGTCACAAATTCAAGTAACAACATTTTGCTTTGAAGCGCTATTTTCCACAATACAACGCTCATATTCTGCCTCTTTCCGAACCATCTCTAAGCCTGTCAGCTCTGTTTGAATACTGTCTGAACGCATGCTTGCAAATTTCGCCTCAAAATCTGCTAGTTTAACTGCCATAGTATCATTTTCTTTCTGAAAAATAAAATAACTCTCACTGACATTTGAATGCGACCAATAACATAAAGGCTAAACCTCAGTCTCTGATATGAATTAGAACCCTGCAGAAAACAATTCATAACGCAACAAGGAAGACTGGGCTCACTTTCAAAACACCCGCATCTTTCACGATCTCATCGTACTTCGCCTTCAAATTAGCAAGATTCATAGCAGACTCATCAATAGCCACACGCATCTGAGCAAACTCATCTCTCAAGGCAACAACACGTCGGTCGGTCTCAGCAACCTAAAGAACATAATAGCGAGATTTTGCCACATATAAGCCAGCATAAACGAACAGAAAAGTGGTAATCTCCATACCCAAACAGGCTGACCATCCTCATTAATAACCTTTTTCCCGGTGATTACATCAACAATTTTCTGAGGTATAGAACCGACTGTCTCCTTTAAAGATCTAATGAGTTCCCGCGATTCCATTTCCACTTTAGAAAGCTCGTCGTAATACTAATAATACACGACAATCAAACAGCTTAATTCAGAAACATCTTTATGGCTGGTTTAAAAATAATGATGTCAATTCTTCCACAGATCTGCCATAATGGGTAACACTACTAAGTGTACTATTATGTGCACTACTTACAGCTTTATACTCCAGAAACTGTTTGTCCTTTGCAGCGAGTTCCTCAGCCAAAGTCTTTAAATTGTCGTCTTTCTTCTAAAGAACAAAAATAAGAAAGTTGGTAGATGTTATTCTGCGTAAACAAGCATAAAATACCATACTTCATTTGCTATCTGAAGGGTGGACACCTCTGAAGTTAACCCCTCGCAACAAGCCCTTGTTCCCTTAATTTCGTCATTAGCCTTGTCAATCTGAGTTTTCATCTGGAAACGAAATAAACCCATAAAGTAAGCAATCCTGAATATTGGGTAACTGAAGACCACAAGTACTACAAGAATTAAAACATACTTCCTGCAAACATAACTTCAAACTTTCTTTTTCTGCTGCAAATTTTTCATTTTCAAACCGGAGAGATTCTATTTCAGATACCAGTTCTTTTATTCGATTTTCAGCTTCAGCAACTCTCTGATATTCACCACTGGGACCTTGCTCAGTACATACCACTCTATTCTCCTTAACAGTGCAAGTCACTACAAGACCAAGCAAATTGAAACTAGACTTGTAAGAAACAAGGACTAAATTAAAACTGCAAAAAACTCAATCTACTTGTCTGTCTCCAATTTTGGAAGAACAGAGGTCTTCTAGAGAATCACTCAACTGCTGCTGAACCGATCGCTCAAGCATTCCAGTTAATTCAAGAACACTTTTCTGGACAACTGAAGAAAGTCATTAAGGTAAGAGTGGGCAAACTTTTAAGACTGAAAATTTTTATGGTTCAAAACAAACCTTCAAACTTCCCGAGAAGAGAGTTTGCTGCCTCAACAGACTGATTCAAATCAATTCGCATTGCTTTAACCTCATCTAAGATTGAACGACCTTCATCATCATCGCAGACCTCAGCCAAGATCCTCTACACAGACGAAATTAACAATATCAAAGAAATAAAAGAAGTTTTTTGGTAAGAAATCAAACAACACTTACATGTTCCGATTCAACTTCTTTTTTTTCTTGAAAAAACTTCACTCAAAGTAGAAAGGTTGGAGAGGAGGAAGCTAGAGATTAATGTGTGCCAAAAACTACCTCATTCCTCATAATCTTACAGCTTTCTCACTCTTACAGTATTCCGTGTCTACGCAGCAAAACCCAATCATATACAAACTATCTTTTAAAAGGGCATATCTCGCTTTTTCTAGTGGTCTGACTTTAGTAACTGCTAAAGTACATTTCAATTGATTATTCACAAACGTTTGTCAAATCCCTGTTAGAAACATGCTCAAAGTACCACACAAAATGAAGTAAACTTTAAGTCATCCATAAAGACCTTCTTCAATCTTATGCAAAAAAATATAGCAAATTCTTTACCTACTTAAGATGCAGGAGAAACAATTAGACTATTCATAAACGTATGAAATTTACAGATAATGATTCAATGAAACAATCATCCTTTTATAAGTAAGCTGCATCTGAGAGTAACAAAAACTTGAAAACTTCTCGAATGTAGAAATTAACCTTCTCTTACAAATTTTGAGTTACTTGAAACCGATAACAGAAAAATAGCAATTGCTAAATTAACGACTCCAAATATACGATAACTGATTTAAATCTCATGTGGGAGAAAATTTACGGTGAAAATTAACTGCAAATTTTTTAAATGAAGTAGTGAAGTAAAGTGATAAACAAGAGAAAGCTAGCACTTAAATAAGTAAAAAATAAAAATTATTTTAAGC